TTGTTTCTGACTGGTTCCTTTTCATGTATTTTATGTTCTTTTTAATGCTTGATGTAGATAAATAAATGGAGTGTTTATACCTAAGGCAATTCCTCACATATATAGCTCCCTAAATTGAGCCACTGATAGACACCAAACTATGAGGAGTTTGAGATAATACTGTCTGACATTCCCCTGGAATGTAATCATTCTATGTTCATGGTTAAAGGAATAATGTGTCTTATTTGACATATTTGAAGAAATCTTTCTGAAACATACAAAGATTCATCCATAGTCTAATCTAAATGATGCATTCATGATACCTGGATATAGAGGCAATAATTCAATTCAATTTGCATAACATACCAAATACAGTAAGCATATTAAACATATCACTAACTTTAGTGATTATTATAAATTTTAAACAAAAGGAAAATCAAGATCCATATTCTACTGAATCTATAATAATAAAATAGTAATATGCAAATTGACCGAACAACTGAACAGCAGAACGACCGTCTGGACAACCTTCTGGATGACCATGCTATGACACACACTGGTGCCAGGCCAGGCCTGCCAAGGCAGATGCAAGGTGATTGGTCTGGGGGCCCCACCATTGCCCTACAGAGGGGGCCCAGGCTACCCAGCCAGCAGCACTGAGGCGGGTGGGCGGGGCCTCCCTCAGCTGGGCAATGGATCTCGCAGCCCCGCAATCAATCACCCCAAAGAGGGAGGCCCAGGCCACTAGCCAGCGATGCTGTGGCAGGTGTGCAGGGCCGGCCAGTGATTGCCCTGCAGAGGGAGGCCCAGGCCAGCCAAGCGATTGCACCCCATGCCTGTCGCCCACAGAGGGAGGTGACCAGTGGCAGGGGAGGGGGGCGGGCAGCACCGCACAGATGGCAAGCAGAGGCAGCAGTGGAGGCGGGGCCAGCTGCTGGCAGCTGGGGGAAGGAAAGCCCCGATATTCCCTGATCACTGGCCAGGCCTAGGGACCCTACCTGAGGGGTCCCGGATTGCAAGAGTGTGCAGGCCTGGCTGAGGGATGCCCCCTCCCCCGTGCATGAATTTTGTACACCGGGCCTCTAGTGTTGAATAAGAGTGTTGAAAGCGGACATCCCTGTCTTGTTCCTGATCTTAAGGGAAAACAGTCTTAGTTTTTGCCCATTGAGTATGATGTTGGCTGTAGGTTTTTCACATATGGTCTTTATTATGTTGCGGTATGACTCCTGTATTCCCATTTTGGTGAGAGATTTTATAGAAAATGGGTGCTCACTTTTATTGAATGCTTTTTCTACATCTATTCATATGATCATGTGATTTTTATCTTTCATTTTGTTTATGTGATGTAACATATTTCTTGATTTGTGAATATTGTACCAACCTTGCAACCCTAGAATAAATCCCACTTGGTTATGGTGTATGATATTTGTAATGAATTGCTGGACCCGATTTTCTAATATTTTGTAGAGGATGTTAGCGTCTGTATTCATCAGGGATATTTGCCTATAATATTCTTTTTTTGTAGTGTCTTTACCTGGTTTTGGAATTAGGATAATGCTGTCCTTGTATAAAGAGCTTAGAAGTCTTCCTTCCTTTTGAATTTTTTGGAATAGTTTGAGAAGGATAGGTGTTAGATTTTCTTTGAATGTTTGTTAAAATTCACTTGTGAAGCCATCCACTCTAGGGCTTTTACTTGTTTGGTATTTTTATTTTTTTTAAATTTTTAAATTGCTGCTTCAATTTTATTAGTTGTTATCAGTCTATTCAGGTTTTTTTATTCTTCCTGATTGAGTTTTGGAAGATTGTGTGTTTCTAGGAATTTGTCCATTTCACTAAGGTTGTCCAATTTGTTGGCATGTAGTTCAGAGTATTTTCTTACTATCCTTTGTATTTCTATGATATCAGTTGTTACTTCCCCTCTTTCATTTTTGATTTTATTTATTTGGGTCCTCTTTGTTTCTTGATGAGTCTGGCTAAAAGTTCGTCATTCTTGTTTTCTTGGTTTTATTGATTTTTTTGCATTGCTGTTTTAGTCTCTATGTCATTTATTTCTGCTCTCACCATTATTATTTCCTTCCTTCTACATACTCTTTTTTTTCTAGTTCTTTTAGTATAGGGTTAGATTGTTTGAGATTTTTCTTACTTCTTGAGGTAGACCTTTAAAGCTCTGGATTTCCATCTCAGGACTGTTTTCACTGTGTCCCATAGGTTTGGGGTTGTTGTGTGTTCATTTTCATTTGTTTCCAGGTAATTGTTGCTTTCTTCCTTGATCTCATTTGAGAGCATGTAATTCTTAGTCAGCTATCCAGGTTTAACAAATCTTGTTACCTATGTAATCTTATTGTTGGGAAGTTACCCTCTCTGAACTTCAATTTGTGGTCTGTAAAATAGAGATAGTATTACTTATCCTCATAGTGTTATTATGAATATTAAATGAGATAATGCATGATAATTATTTTGAAACATGCTGGTTCATAATAACTGTAAAAAACCTGTTAGCTATCACTTTTTCTCACACTTTTAATCTTTCAATCTCTATTTCCTCCACTTGCTTGTAACTACACTATCTCATCTCCCATCTTCTAGATGGCAATGATATAGGATAGAACTCTCAAAATTATAGCTATCAACATGAGGAAAACACCTAATTTGTTCTAGCAGGATGTGTAAATGTTGGAAGAAAAGAATCACTGGTTTGAATTCCAACTATGTTATTTACATATTTGACCTTGGGCAGATTATTTTGCCTCTCTGAGCCCTAACTGTTTTGTCTCTGTAATGGAAATAATAATATATACTTTTCCCCCAAAGGCTTCTCTCTCTCTCTCTCTCTCTCTTTTACTGGTGCATATGTATAATGTCAGATAGACTCTATTAATGTTCATTCCTGTATCCTTTTTAAAATGAATGAAAAGGGAACTTTTTTGAGATTTGATGTGATTTAATCCACAGGAAGAAGCACTTGTATTTTATTGGGAGAAATTTGAGAGAATTTAGAAAAGTATGAGAATTAATCAAGACCCCTGTGTTTACTAGGTGCAAAGGCAATGAATGGTCCAGCCCAGGACATTATCCCAGAGAATGTAAAAGCCATCATGGCTCATCTGAAGTTTCTAGTCTCTGTAGCCCTCTAGTGGCCATTGATTGTAGCAGACAATTCATAGTTATTGACAAATTACTGGAGTCAATTTGACTTAGGACAAGAATTATATAGAAAATAAGGGAGTGGGGAGTGAAAGGGCCTACATTTTAATCTTTATAACATTTTAAATTGAAAATTATTCTTTCATCAGTGTGAATGCCAACAAAATTTGATGAAAATTTAAATCTATATTTTCACGTACTAGGAAAGTATGAACATCAATATCCTTTCCTTCCTCTTCTCTTTCTCTTCTACCGCCATGCCTTCCTCCACCTGTGTAGGAGCATATTTTCTTTTCCTTAGAGCAAATCAATCTTTGCCCTTAAGCTTGTAGAGTCAGTGTACCCAGTTTGGGTTCTAGAGAGAGGCCAGTTGCCTATCAAATTAAGAGAGTTGCCAAACATAGAGCAGAAAGCAAGTCATTCCTAGAAAAAAATATATTTAGTCTTTCAGCTGCCAAAGGCAATAGCACAATGCTGGAAAGAGCGCAGCCTGGGAGAACAGGGGCCCTGCTTGGCCACCACTTCCTGTGGGGCAGTGGGCAAGTTACTACCGTCTTTTGCAGCTCGTTGAGGGAGATTCAACTCTATTCTGTGCTCTGATTCCACTAGGAAACGCCTCTGCTACCTCCTAGGCTGTGAGCTCCTCAAGGGAGGATCTTGCCTTATTTTTAACTCCCACAGTTAGCAAGAGGCCTGACAATCAACCTTTAAGAAGGAACAGAGGAATTTATGTGAACCAAAGACTGTTGTTTTGTCTCTGGTTCTAGTGAACCACTTGTAAACACAGCCATTATCTGAGTTCTGTGTTGGCAGCTGGGAGAGAGATGAAGGGAAGGAGACCAGAGGTGCAGTCCTTACGTTACAGGTGAATAACGAAAGGTCTGCGTTTCTGAACTCTCAAGGCTGACAGCAAGAGTCTCAGATCATTATTCCTTCCAGCTAAGTCACCCCTAGATCTTTTTGGCCTGTTTCTTAAAGGGGTGGGGTGGAGGTGGTATGGCAGAGCAGTAGTTAAGAGCACATGAGTAAGGACTTGGGAAGCATGTATAACTATGTGATCCAAGGAAAATCAATTAAGATTTCTATGACTCAGTTCCTCGTCTCCAACCTCGTCTCCCAAACTGGAATTTAAAATATTTACCTTGCGGAAACTGAAGGAGGTGACACATGTAAGCACTATTCTGAGTGGGTGGGGGGAGGTGGGGAGGGGGAACTGGCAGGTCTGAAAAGTATTTATTGTAGTTGAAGAAATCCGGGAGATTACTCCCACTCCCACCTACAGCCCTGCCAACTCTCCCTGTGTGGATGGCCCATCACAAGGTTCCCAGGAATACATTCAAATAATAGAAGCGTCAGAGAAGAGTCTCTCAGGGTCCTAATCCGAGCTGTCCTGGCATTTGGCTATGTCACCCTGCCTCTTCTTCCCCTCCTTCCTAACCCTGGCCTCCAGTTTTATTCCAATACCTCATTTTCCGAAGTCGGACCCGTTTAATCTCTTAAATGCATAATTAGAGAGAGTGCTTGATTACAAATGCCTCTTCCATCCTCCCATTTATCTAAAACAAGCTCCTGTTCACACAGCAGAGAAATAGGGAAGGGAATCTGGAGGAGGGGGAAAGGAGAGGAGAGAGCGGTGGAGGGAGGGTGGGGTGAGCTTTGTGCTTTTCTCAATGAATGCCCAGGCCTCTGCAGATTTGCATAAGAGCCGACACCCGCCACGCCATTGGTTGGCGGATGCGAGCAGGCCGGGGCAGGCCTGCGTAGGTCTGGCCCCGGCGGGGGAGTAAGCTTTTGAGTCCCGCCCCCTCCGCGTCCCGCCCCCTCCCGGGCGCTC